CGATGTGAATGGTGATTTTCAGACCGCACTCGCCATCACGAGTGCGGGTACTGAGGATTTCCTCAGACCGCATTAGCCCATCTTTTGCTCCCACCGCATTCTGATGGAGGATGAGGTTAAGCCAGTCAGGTAGCCACAGTGGAGATTGACTCCTAATTTGGAGGCAGTGGTCCGGGTAGAGATCGTGAAGTTGATGGATGTAGGGATCATCTTGCCTATATCTGATAGCAAGTGGGTCAGTCCAACTCAGGTGGTCCCGAAGAAAGGCGGGATGACTGTGTTCCCGAATGAGAAGAACAAGCTTATCACAATGTGGACCATGACTGGCTGGAGAGTCTACTTCGATTACCAGCATCTGAACGACGCCACCAGGAAGGACCATTTCCCCCTCCCTTTCATTGATCAGATGTTGGAGAGGTTGGCTGGCCATGACTAAAGATGCAACAAACACATAACTATAGATGCATACTTGTTGAGTGGTGAGGTTGTTGATCAAACTAGTCATCTGGTTAAAATACCCAATGTGGATGGTGTTCTAGTGAGAAAGATCAGATCGGTTGAGCTATCTTCTGCGTTGAAATTGGATCGGGTTTTATTGTGCCAGAGTTTAAATATAATCTCCTATTAGTCAGTCGGTTGACCAGAGAAAATAATGTGGTTGTGATATTTGTCCTTGACTTCTGTATACTTCATAACTAACACTCCAAGAGTGTGATTGGGAAGGGGATTCTCCATGATGGACTATATCGGAAAAATCCAAAAGTACCACTGTTTAAAAAAAAATTCCAAAAATACCACCCAATCCCAAAATTTTCCAAAAATACCACCCTTTTTCAAAAACCGCCACCCCACCCTGCAGTTTACACGAAAACCGTTTGTCGGGGGCGCGGTTTTCTATGCAAACCGCCACCCCACCCAGCGGTTTGGTCCAAATTTTTTTTTTCCAATCAAACTCCTAACTTCGGCCGAAACTTCAAACGAACGTAACTTTGCACTCGGGTATCCGATTGATGCGAACTTTTTTTTCATTTCGCATAACTTTTCAAGATATACAACTTTTAGTAGGATGAAATTTTCAAAACAGGAACTATATGTGCATATACGGGACCTTGAGAATAACTTTACCTTTACTTTTCACAAATCCATGTACATTTTGAAATTATGATTATATTAAAAGTTGTAGATCTTGAACAGTTATGCGGAATCAAAAAAAATTCATAACATTCGGATTTTGGAGCATAAAGTTATGACCGCCCAAAGTTTGACGAAATGCGAGACCCGGCGGTATGCAGCTTGCAAGATCTCAAAAAGTTTGCGGCCTCCATTTTTTGAATCCGAATAAATTTTTGAGATCTTGCAAGCCGCAAACTGGTGGCTCCCGCCTTCGTCTCGAAAAAACGTCATTTGGCACCCCGAACGAGCCTTTTTTTTATTTCGTCAAACTTTCGGCGGCCATAACTTTGTGCTCCAAAATCCGAATGTCATGAATTTTTTTTATTCCACATAACTTTTCAAGATCTACAACTTTTAATATAATCATAATTTCAAAATGTACATGGATTTGTGAAAAGTAAAGGTAAAGTTATTCTCAAGGTCCCGTATATCCACAAATAGTTCCTGTTTTGAAAATTTCATCCTAATAAAAGTTGTAGATCTTGAAAAGTTATGCGAAATGAATAAACAAATCGCATCGATCGGATACCCGAGTGCAAAGTTACGTTCGTTTGAAGTTTCGGCCGAAGTTAGGAGTTAGATCGAAAAAAAAAAAATTTGGACCAAACAGCTGGGTGGGGTGGCGGTTTTGGGTCAAACCGCCACCCAACCCAGCGGTTTGGTCCAAAATTTTTTTTTTAATAACCGCGCCCCCGACAAACGGTTTTCGTGTAAACCGCAGGGTGGGGTGGCGGTTTTTGAAAAAGGGTGGTATTTTTGGAATTTTTTTTTAAACAGTGGTACTTTTGAATTTTTTCCGACTATATCACTTGAAGATGTTGAGCAGACATGAGCGTTTGTTTTTGCCACAGATGGGCAAAAGACGACAGCCGAGGATGTCTGGCATGGTCGCCTAGGCCATCCATCCCCTTTGAAGCTTTCACAGCTTAGGAATGTTATTTCTGTTACGCTTAGTTCAGTTAAAAGTCCCTATCAATCATGCATGAGGGCCAAAAAAACTGGAATTCCTTTTCCTGTCAGTTCTATCAAGACTTCAGATTTTTTTGAGTTGCTTCGTGTTGACATTTGGGGAGGATATTAGATTGCTTCCTTGAGTGGAGCTCATGATTTTCTGACAATTGTGGAAGACTTTAGTCGTGGTGTATGGGTTTCCTTGCTAAAATTCAAGTCTGAGCTGTCTCGTTACCTATTGATGTTCTGTGACATGGTAGCTACACAATTCAATAAGCGCGTCAAGCGCATACAGGCAGACAATGGGCTCGAATTCAAGACAACTGAATTGCGTTCGTTTTATGAGAAATCAGGAATAATACTGCAGACAAGCTGTACAGATACTCCTCAACAGAATGGGGTAGTAGAGCGTAAGCATCATCATAGTCTTGAGACTGCGCGTGCATAACAGTTTCAAGCAGGCCTTCCCATTCGGTTCTGGGGAGAATGTGTATTGACAGAGTTTTATTTGATAAATCGTTTACCCATGACAACCACTTGAAAAACTCCGTTTGAAGTATTGTTTTGCAAGATGGCTTTGTATGATCACTTGCGGGTTTTCAGATGTCTTGTCTATGCCAAAGATAATCATGGGGCTCTCTAAATTTGCCGAACGGGGGCGTGCTTGTGTGTTTTTGGGGTACACTGAAACTCAAAAAGGATACAAGGTGTATGACTTATTAAGGTAGTCGTGTCTTGTGATGTTGTTTTCCATGAGACTTATTTCCCTTTTCATGCAAAGAATCCTAGAGAGTTCCATTGGCTCTTGGCTTATGTTTTTGTTCCAGATCGGGATCAGGAGGAGGTGCAACCGAACCCTGCTGTCATTGATGATGCGCCTCCAGGTCCGTCCTCAATGCATGATCATGCACTTGTCGCAACGCAAACACCAAGGAGCATTTCTCCATCACCTTCGCCCTCTACGTCCGCTGAAGATGACGAGCAGAGTTCTTGTCGTGACTTTCCTAAGTCTCCTTTACCTTTTAGTCTCCCCGTTCTGGAGACGTCCCAGCATGAGCAGACCTCGTTGCGACAACTTGAACCTGCACTTGGTCGTGGTCTTAAACAGCGGTGGCCTTCGAAGCATTTGGACATATATGATACTAGTGTTAATTCGGTCTCCAACATGAAGTATCCAATCTCCAGTCAGGTGTCTTATGCCCGTGATACCTACCGTTATCAAGCTTTTGTGGGCTTTGTCACCCGCACACCTGAACCTTGTTATTTTCATGAAGCTATGAAGTGTGCACATTGCCGAGCAGCCATGAAGACCGAAGTCCAAACTCTTGAGGCAAACAAGACGTGGACTCTTGTTGAAACTCCCCCAAGCGTTCATCTATTGACTCGAAATGGGTCTTTCATATCAAATATCGCCCAGATGGTGCGATCAAAAGGTATAAGGCACGTTTGGTGGAAAAAGGCTATACACAGATTGAAGGCTTTGACTACCACGATACCTTTGCTCCGGTTGCGAAACTTGTCACAGTTCGTACTCTTCTTGCTATAGCTGCTAATCGTGTCTGGTTGATACATCAGTTGAATGTAAATACTGCTTTTCTACATGGGGATCTGCATGAAGAAGTTTACATGAAGATTCCTCCTGGGTTTGCTGTACCTGGTTATAATCGAGTTTGTCGTCTCCACAAATCAATCTATGGTTTGAAACATGCCTCACTCCAGCAGACCACTTCATCTCTAAGCGAGGTACTTCCTTTGTTGTTGCTCTTATATATGTTGACAATGTGATCCTTGTAGGTACCAACATGTCTTTCATCCCTCATGTCAAGGAGATTCTGGACACACGTTTCAGCATCAAGGAGTTGGGGCCATTGCACTATTTTTTGGGTTAGAAGTAGCCCGATCTCCACAAGGACTTGTTATAAATCAGAGGAAGTACGTTCTTAACATATTAGAGCAGTATGGAGTTCTCGGCGCTCGTCGTAGCGCGTTCCCGGTTGAGCAGAACCATCAAATGACAAAGCCTTGCTCTGCGATTCTTGTAGATGGTTCAACTTATCGTCGTCTAGTGGGCCATCTACTGTATTTGACACTCTCGCGGCCAGGCATTACCTACGGTGTGAACATTTTGAGTAGGTTTTTGCATTCTCCCACATAGGCACATATGGATGCGGCTGTGCGCATTCTGTAGGATCTGAAGTCATCCCCTAGACAGGACTTGTATTTTCCATCAACCAATGATCTTCGTCTAAGTGCTTATTGCGACGCAGACTAGGGTGGATGTCAGTGAACACGGCGATCTACTATCGGCTTCTGCATTTTCCTTGGTTCGACCCCAATTTCCTTGGGAACCAAACAACAGGAAGTGGTTTCCCGATCATCAGCTGAAGCTGAGTATCGCGCCATGGCTACTACAGTCAGTGAGATAGTATGGCTTCGCTGGCTCCTGTCACAACCTTACTCTCGATCGTGCGGCCCTAGCTCTCAATTTCTTTAGAGCGCTAGGCAGCCTTCTCTCAACTCACTTGCAAACAAAGAAACAAAGAGAAAAGACAAAGGAAATGGGAGAACTCTATAGTGTGTATTACTCTAAAAAATGATGGAATGAGTTATAAGTGAGGGAGATGGCTCCTTATATAGGCCTCTCCTCATACAAGGCATCAATGCCCCTCATAATGTCGCTCTACATCAATACACCCATTAAGTCCCCCCCCCCCATGAACTCTATAAATGTCACCCATTATGTGACTCATAAGTGCACCATTAAGCTCTCTATTAAGGTGGAGAATCCTAGGAGCATCTCTACGCCACATGTGCTGCCGCCATGTTGTCGCCTTGTTGGTGTCATGTCATCTGCCACATGTGACATCCTCCCCCACCTATGCTCGTGACGCCCTCGTCGCGTCCTCGTGATGGAATGCCTCGATCAAGTCCTTGTTCTTCCAAAGCGTGAGCTCTTTTTCCCAAGTTGCTTCACTCTCCGGAAGGTTGCGCCACTTGACCAAGTACTCCATGAAGCTTGGATGTACGCCACGACGAGGAATGACACGATGCGACATGATCTCTTCGACTTCATGGTCGTGTGTCTTGGTGATGAGTGTTGGTACGATGCACCTCCTTTCGCTGCTCGTCCTCCTTGTCTTCGTGGAAAGCCTTGAGTTGGCTCACATGAAAGACTGGATGGATCTCCAAATGCGATGCCACCTCCACCTTGTACGCCACCTTGCCAATCCTCTTCACTATGGGGAATGGACCTTCATAGCGGCGAAGCAGTCCCTTGTGCACGTTCTTGAGATTCTTGAAGCGATGAGGGAAGAACTTTACAATCACCATGTCTCCCTCTTCAAAATCCAAGTGTCGCCTCTTGTTGTCCGCCCATTTCTTCATCTTCTTACTAGCACGGGCTAAGTAAGACTTGGTCATCTCCATCTTCTCGTGCCATCCTTTAGCGAACTTATAGGCTGCCGGACTGTTGCCTCTATACCCCGTTGCCACCGTCGTAGGTGTCAAAGGTTGCTGCCCCGTCGCCAACTCAAATGGACTCGTGTTGGTCGACTCGCTTCGGTGCAAGTTGTAGGAGAACTGTGTCGTGTCCATCAACTTCACCCAATCTCGTTGGATTGCACTCACGTAGTGCCACAAGTACACCTCCAACAAGGAATTCACCCGCTCCGTCTGTCCGTCGCTTTGAGGATGAAATGTCGTCGAGAAGTTCAAGTCTGAGCCCATGATCTTGAACAACTCTCGCCAAAATCGGCCCGTGAAGCGCCCATCTCTGTCGCTCACGATGTATCTAGGAATGCCCCAAAACTTGACCACGTTCTTGAAGAATATCTGCGCCGCATCCTCTGTCGTCAAGTCTTTTCGACCAGGGATGAACACTCCATACTTCGAGAACCTGTCCACCACAACCATGATGCAACCGCATCCATCGACTTTGGGAAGCCCGATGATTAAGTCCATGCTTACACTCTCCCATGGTCGTTGAGGCGTGGGCAAGGGCTCTAGCAAGCCTGTCGGGCTTCTCTGCTCCATCTTGTCTTGTTGGCACACAAGACAAGATGGAAGGAAAGGCAGAAAAAGGGAAAAAGTCAATAATTTTGTGGTCAATAACGCATAATCCAATCCGAATCCGCCATATGAGCGCCCTTCTCTCTCTTGAAAAGCCTTTAATTACTCTCCCCTTAATCATTAACGGATGATTTCTCACTCATTTTAAGTCGAAATTTAAATTTTTTTGCACAATTAGATCAGATTAATTATGCTCTTCAAAATGATATCAACTTTGATATATTTTTGGAACAAAAAAAAGTTTGAGCCATTTTTTACAAGTATATACCGTATGGTATTGAATGGTATTGAAATAAGAGCACACCTATGTATAGGTGTCAAAACAGAACCCGACCCGATTAACCCGACCCGCAACCCGACCGCAATCCGAATTGACTAAAAGTCAACAACCCGCAACCCGCTCGACCCGCAATCCAACTAACCCGCAACCCGACTAACCCGCAACCCGATTAACCCGAACCCGATTGACTCGCAACCCGATTAAACTCGAACTCGATTAACCCGAACCCGATCGATTAGAACCCGACTAATCCGTAACCCGACCGACTCAACCCGAACTTCACCTAATCCACTTGAATAATTATTATATTATACAACACATAGTTTTCAAAATAAAGTTTTTCATTCTAACTTAGGTAAAATTTATTTTTCATTTCGTATAGGGGATTTAAAATAATATGAAACTCATGTAATATTACGTATTTTAAGAAAATTACAAAAATTGAAACATGAGAGTCATTTGAACACTAAGTTTTTTAACAAAATTTAAAAAGTAAATATGAAATATAAAATCAACACAATGTCAATTAATAATGAAGAATTGATAATTGAGATCATGGAAAATATTAGTATAATATATAAATTAAAATTTTGGTTAATTTAACTATTCAATAAATTATCAATTACATATAAATAAAGTAAAGTAATGTATTTAGTAATTTGATGCTTTTAAAATAATAGGAAAATTTTGGTGTATTCAACTTTTTGGGAAGAGAAAGAAGAGGGAAATTTGGTTATTTGAATTTTTGAGAAAATAAACAAGGGGAAATTTTGATGGTTTTGATTTGTGGGAAGAAAAAGAAGTGAGAAAGTTTGGTTCTTTTAGAAATAAGTATTTTTTTTACAATAATTTTAGAAATAAGTAGGAAAATTTGGTTATTTGAATTTTTGAAAAAAGAAACAAGGGGGAATTTTGATGGTTTTGATTTGTGGGAAGAAAAAGAAGTGATAAAGTTTGTTTCTTTTGATTATGAAAGAGAAATAAGTAGGAAAATTTTGAGTTTTCAACTTTTTGTGTAAGGTAGGAAGAAAAGGAAAATTTGGTTCTTCAATTTTATGGAAGAGAAAGAGGAGAGAAATTTGGTTCTTTTAATTTTATGGAAGAGAAAGAAGAGGGAAAATTGAGTTGCGGGTTTGAATTTTTGGTTAATCGGGTTGCGGCCTTGCGGGTCACTTTGGAATGGGAAATGAGAGGGAGGTTTGGGTGAGAACTTTGGAATGGAAAATTTATGGGCGGGTGAATATGAGCCAACAATTATACTAAACTTGATAAGTAATCTTTGACGGTTCGTTGATTAGGGTATAAAGTATATGGTTAGAGTATAAGGTACAGATGGTTTAGGGTGTATATGGTTAGGGTATAATGTATTGATGATTTTGATGGTTCTAAGTTTTTTATTAACATATTTTCACTTGAAGTCTTTATCGGCAGGATATCCCTTTTTAATTTATGTTTATGGTACGTGGTTAGGGTACAAGGTATATGGTGTAGAGTATAGGATATATGGTTAGGGTATAGCAATTAGCATTTTTTTACCTATGTTTTGAAAATCAAAGTATTAATTTTACTTTAAATTAACTATACTAGCAAAATCACAACTCATAAGGATTATGGTTAGGGTATAGGGTATGTGGTTAGTGTATAATGTATTGATGGTTTAGGCATAAAACTCAAAGTTTGGTTAAATCACAACTCACAACAATACCAATGTTTGGTTAAAACTCAATGTTTAACTAAATTTAACATTCGTCTGCTATCACAATTCACAATTACTAATAATCCTAATAATAATTACCACCCATTATAGTATATATAATCATCGTGACTTCCACATTGCCCGTCCATCCACCTTTCGCATTCTCATTTGTTTTGACATGCATGTTTTGCAGCCTGTATGACTCCAATTCAGCAGCACAAGCGAAGAACACAATTCCACAGTAGTCAATCTCGAGTTCTCTATCCTCCATTTTTAGTTCTGGCCAATTACTCTGTTCTGCCTCTTGCGACACCACTCATATTATCAGTTTCGGCCAATCACTCTGTTCCGACCAATTATTTCATTCATATCCTTGGTAGTACATCCAGTTTCATAGGGTAATTGCAAACACAATGGCAATGAATGCATTCGCCAAGCTCCCTAACGGGAATGCTCCAATGGCCAACGAGAATGGAAACAGTACTATGCTTGCTGCTGCAACTGTAAAGCGGGCTACTCACCATCAAACACACCAACTCATTCTCTGCTGTCAATTTTAAAGGGAGGAAAGGTGAACTATTAGTAAGGTTGTGATCAGAACAGAGGATGGTAAGATAGGAACCATTATCCCCAATCCGTGGTATTAGTAAGGTTCGGCTATATTATGGTCATTCGTTTTTCCCTGCTACATCTCCAAATTTTATAACAACATCACTATGATCATGATTTATTACCACATCGGAGAGAATGGAAAATTGTGGCTTTTCCCATGCCTATAAAATAAAGTGACTGGCCTGACTTATAGACATATCAAGGTGTAGTGCTTATAGTGCTAAGGCCTTGTTAGGTTGGGCTGAAAAGAAAGCCCAGTCTTTTAGTTAGATCAAGCTGAGCTTGAGTTTAATTTGTGTTTGAATATGGGCCGAGTTTAATACTTGACTCGTATAGTTGAGTGCAAATTGAGTTCGAATTGACATTTTTTTAGTCGAGTTGACATTTTTTTAGTCTAGTCAAGCACGAGCTGACATTTTGTTGCTTGTATCAAGCATGAGTCGAGTTCGAGCTGAGGTTTTGTTTGTCAAGCTTGAAGCCAGAGCTAGGTAAAAGCTTAGGTCAGTTCGTTTGCAGCCCTATCTGCTTACCACACGCCAAATAACAGATTTGCAGGGTTATACTAAACGAGATATTTCAATACAATTACTATTGAAATAATACTAAAATACCAAATAAACATTTAATTGTGTCTTTTTGTTGCAAATATTGATATCACCATTACTATTAGCTAGTGTAATTTACCAATTACGATTAATTACATAACAAGTTTGCAAGTTATAAAAATTGATTCAACATTTTGACTAGTATTTTTTTAAATTAAGTATATATACGAGGTAGTAAGAAATTGGTTAACAATTGAGAAAAATATTTTAAATTAGTGTAATAAAATGTGTAAGTTGGTAAGGAGTAAGTTACTCGATGCGCTGACACGAACAACCCGCAACCCGATCCGCCCGACCCAAAACCCGATGAACCTGAACCCGATTTGCCCGCAACCCGATTGAACCCGAACCCGTTGAACCCGCAACCGACTAACCCGCAACTCGTTTGAACCCGAACCCGATGAACCCGAACCCGATAAACCCACAACCCGATGAACCCGAAACCCGACTAACCCGCAACCCGATTGAACCCAGCCCGAACCCGCCCGAACCCGCCCGATTGACACCTATACACCTATGGTATGAAAACAGTACCATGGTGGTATGAACAAACCAAGTCTGTAGGATGGTTGAATACAAGATAGTAAAAGTATATTAACTTTCATTTACGACTTTTAACATTGTGTATCACAAGATACCACCCCGTACCAGGTTGGTATTGTGTGGTATTTTTTGGCCCTATATTTTGTTCACCCAGAAATTTGTAAATACAAAAATTTTCAAACACGAATTAAAAACGAAGAATATACCATAATGTATGCAGTTGGTACCGAGAGGCAAGAAATTTTTTTATAAAAAAATATTGAAAATGGATATCATTTTGTAGAGCACAACGAACTTGTTCCACCTGTGAAAAAAATTGAAATTCGAGTTAAAACGAAGAAGATATGAGTCGATTAAGAAAAAAGAGAAAATAAAAATGTCTTTAATTCTCCACCCTTAGATCTGGATTTTCAGAATAAAGGGTTCAGATTTAGTTACTGATGGTTATGCACTGTATCTTGAGCTAGCAAAAAGCATTCCCTCGCAATAAAATTTAAGAATATATCATTAATTATGAATGGATAACACTAAGTTAATAACTACTCAATTTCCAGCCCACTACCGCAAAAGTATTTGGTTC